ACATAGGTAACCACCCTACTATTTACGTCAGCACTATGTGATAACAATGCATAATCATCACAATACATTGCGCATAGCCTCGAAACCATGGGCGACACTAACAGTGGGCTGAAACGACAGAACACCCCTCCACAAGGAAATGATAATAGTCTGCCCGCATATGCAGGAAAAAATATCTTGCACTACATCTGTAGCAACTTCACAATTCGTCGGTGCCCAACTGATATTGAATGCTCGACATTGCTTTACGAATGAGTATGAAGACATAAGCTTCAATGAAATCAAATCGCACGACGAGGAATCAAGAAGGGAAGTTCTCCTAAAAGCCTTGTAGCCTCTCGAAGATAAGTACAGACGTCTCCGTACCAATTCGCAAGACTCTACAAGACTTACTCGTGAGACCTAAGTGAACCTAGTATTTTGATACCAAACTGTCACAACCCAATTCCCGCTATAGGTCTTGATGGTGCCCAACGTTGCCGTTAGGCAAGCCAACGGTGAACTATCAACTTAATTATTCATTTTATTATTTTTAAAATTATGGGTTTTATTAAGTAAAGGAAATTAGGTGTAGAAAAATAAGGAGATATAAAAGCATTAATAAAAATATAAAAGGAAAAGGTGAAAATACTATATAAATACCATAAACATCTACTAGGAATTCCTAAACCCTAGTGTCACAAGTGCATGAGCATATGCTAGGAAGTACAATACTAATACAACGTCTGTTTAAAATGTAAAATAGACACGACAAAATAAATGAATACGATGGAGACTCTCTGTGCTGCGGATCATAACATAGAATGCAAAGCAGTGTAAAGTCCTCCCAACAGTTGTGCCCACATGCCCAAATGACCACCAAAAGTACTTATTTTAGTACCTACACAATCAGTGCAGAAGTGTAGCATAAGTACGTAATCAATGCGTACCCAGTAAATATCTAATCTAACCCCGGAGAAGTTGTGACGAGGGTTAATATCAACACTTACTAGTGGTCCAATAAATTATAAATAGATATGAAACACAACGGTAATGATGAGGTAAGAAACTATAACTAACATAATCCTCCAAAAAAATGACAGTATGAATTTCCTTAAATATCATGTGCTATCTCAAACAAATAAGAAATATCATGTAACAAATATCATTGGGTTCATTTCTCTAACAAAACAAATACTCGTCAGTCCTCTATGATACTCACATGGTATATATCATATACTAACATGATAGAGATCTCGTTCATTCCTTCAAAAAAGAGCTCAGGCTTCTATGATACCAAACTGTTATACAAGTATACCATTTTGGTATACAATATAAATTCGTGCTTTTCACTAGTTCAACCCAATTTTAACCCAAATTTCACAATCTAGTGCAAAAGTTTCATCAAATTTGGCCTTCAACATTTAAAATAAAATATTTTTATTTAAGAAAAAAATTTGGAAAGGGAATAAAAACTCCATTGAAACATTAAAAAAAGTTTCAATAAAAATTTCAATAAATTTAAAAAAGGACCAAATTGTAATGGTATAATATTACACTATACTGAATATTATAACAGTATATTACTGGAATAAACTGTATACTATTAAATCAAAAATTATATACCAAAATAGTATACATATATACCATTTTGGTATATAGTACAAATCCATCTTCTTTGTCAGTTCAACTTAATTTCAACCCAAATTTCACGATTTTACTGTAATATCTCTACTAAATTGGCTCAAACTTTTACCACGACCTCTAATCAACATTTCAAACAAACCCCAAGTAAAATCGGATCAAAGCAACTACATACTCAACAAACCCGATATATGAGTTTCAAGTTTTAAGGACTTTCAGTGTTGGATTTAATTTTTCTAATAACAAATCTCCAGTATGAACATTCTAAAGGTACTATAAATAATATTTTGAAATATCTACTTTGAATCAAACAACAAATCTTAAAGATAAAATTTTAATTCAAGAGCTTCAAGCTCAACAACGGTGAGTCTTTAAAAGTTCAATCCCAAGCACCTCATATCAGCTCCAAATGAAACCAAATTTTAGCATGAACTTCTCAAAGATACTAGAAATAGTTATTTGTAATACCCACTTCAAATCGGCAATACATCTTCAAGTTGAAATTTTAAATATAAGAGTTTCAAGCTCAACAATGACAGGTATTCTATTTCTTCCACTAAAATTCTCTCAACAACGACCAATTCAAGCGTTAAAAGAGGAAAGAGTTGGACAATTAATACCTTTTTTGTGATTTAGGACCTGTGATTATAAGGGAAAGGGTTGGGCGGTTAATAGGTTTTCATGCGATTTGGGATTTGGGATTAGAAGGAAAGGACTCTGAAAGTGGGTAGTCGGGTAAATAATTTGGATTGAATAGGCATGTATTGTAAGACAAATCAGAACGGGCAAGAATGGGTAATAAAAATGACCTGAATGGGCATTTAGTGTAGATTTTCCTAAAAATAAGTTGCAACCCAAACTTTTAACGCCTACATTTTTTTTGAAAATTAACAATATTAAAAAGATTTTGACTTTAGAAGAGAGAAACCTAGTTTCTCTTCTTCTTCTTTAGCCCTTACCATCGTCAGCCATGGAGCACAAAGCTCCAAACTTTGCCTTTGTTTTTAAAAATAAATAAATTTGAAAGTAGAATTTTTTCTCATCTTCCTATACTCTTATGTTTTCTTCCTTCACCCCTTTCCACTAAAAAAAATAAAATCATAGCTTCCTTTCCTTTTCACTGTCATGACTATGAAGCACCAAGCTTCATTTTTATTATTATCTTTTATTTAAAAAAATCACTCCTCTTCGAGACCGTTAATGATCCTTCCATGGCAGGGAGATCTCGCTACCAAGGTTCGATTATTAGCGGCGGCGGTGGATCTCTGGCGATGACATAAAGACACAAAAAAATATTGCTCGGCGGCATACATGACAACATCCAGACAGATCCAAAAATAACTAGAATTCTGTTTTTTTTTTGTTATCATTTTTCGAGAAATACCAGATTCTCAAAAAAATATCAGATTAATAAAATTGGTTAAACACTGATACAATACTAATACCAAATTACTATCGATAATTAGTTTGACATTCTTGATTGTATGGGGTACAAAATATCAAAACCTCATTCTAGATTCACTTAAAAGAAATTAGAACAGTTCTATTATTTTTCGGACTAAAAAACCAGCATATGACTTTGATACCAATGAAGGAAAATAATAATCTAAACACAATAGATAGCTCGTAAATCATAAAATGAGAACTTACTTGTTTTTCATGAAGCGGAAGCGAAAATTTGAAACGAACCGTGGCTAGAATCACTGATCGGCGGTAGTTGTCACGGTATGGTGGAGCAACCTCCTATATCAGAATCTAAACCCTGATCTGATTTGGGAGAAGAGAGCGTAGAAAATACTACTAAGCGTATATTTTATTGTGCATTATAAGTGTACTTATATAGAGAATATTAGGGTTAACTAATAACCCTATTGAGCTTTAAAACACCCCTTATGGATAGACCTAAAATTTCTTACAGAAACCATCAAAACCCGATTCCGAGTCCGTTCACCAAAAAGTCAAATCATGGACAACTCTTCCAACCTAAAGCTTCCAAATAGAAAGTCATTCTTCCAAATCAATCCCAAACCTCTCGAAAAACAAAACCGACTATACACGCAAGTCATAATACATCATATGAAGCTATTCAAAGTTCCGAACCACCGAACAAAATGCTAATTCAAAACGACAGGTTGGGTCGTTACAAATCACATATTTGGACTTGGCAGGTTATGGGTCATCGCGATTCAGTATTTGTTTTGAATTTCGGACACGCGATCCCGTGTTGACTTTTATTGACTTTTTGGGAATTATTCAAAGATCAAAAGCTTTTATTGATTGGGATTTCCTCCTATGATATTGGTTGACTTTCTTGGATAGATTCGAGTCGGGTGAGGTGATTTCTCATTAAAAAGCGATTTTGGAGCTTTAGACTAGTCCCGATGAGGTATGTGTCTTACCTAGCTTTGGCTTGAGAAAAATTTTCCTAATAAATGATATTGTGCTACATGTGCGGGTGATGTATATGCGAGGTGACGAGTATATATGCATGTGCCATGGTTGTTCATTCTTGGGATAGATCCTAGATTACTTTATACCTTGTTTGGTTGTGTGTTCTACTTGTTATATGCTTTACTTGATTGAATGACTACATGAGCGCAATAAGCCATGCTAGAGACAATGTTTAGGTTAATGATACCTTATTTTGAGCATGACGAACTATTCTTGAGATCATTGATATACTTATTTTAGACGTGGTCACATGTATATTATGAACACATATTCATACTTGTTATTCTTGTGTTATGCCTTAAATTGATGTATGACTACTTGAGTTTCCTTACCCACGTTAAAGACTATGATTTGGCTTTTGATACCATCAAAACATATTAACTACAACTTATTTCTGTCAAAAATAATCTTCCACGAGTTAAATTTCGACAATTCTTTTGCGTTAAAAATTCTAATTTTTGTTAGCATTGTGACCTCCTTACCACTACTACATAGTTAATTCTCCTTATTTCTCCTTATGAAAGTTTAAGAATTCTCCTTATAGTCCTTGTTAAAAATTTAAAGTGCCAGCAACAAATATCTACGAGACCTATTTTTCCTTTAAAGAGGTAAAAAAATACTTTATCTGTTTCAATTTATGTAACATATTTTTTTTTTATTTCATTTAAGAAAGAATAAAATATTTTTATATTTAAAAATAATTTAACTTTAGACTTTTTATTTTACCATTTTATCCTTAAAACTTTAAAAATCTCCTTTTCTTTTAAAAGTTTTTTTTCGAATCAAATTACAATCATTATCCACAAAAATAAAATAAAATCATAAGCCTATGCGACCGCTCGTTCTTTACCCTCTATCCATAGCAAGTGTAAATAAGTGGTCAGGAATTAACGGTCAAGCGCAAATATAGAGTATTACCGAAGTAAGGCAACCACATCAGTCAAAGCATAGAGTAAACATGATTATGCAGCTCTTGACCTGCCCCAATAAAAATTAGTTCTGGCATTATCAAAGCAAATTAAAACTAGACTAGATAACCAAGTTGTTCACATTCACTAGTCACCATTACTACCCGTTTTTCTCTTAGTGACAAAATTTTGGTCGGAGCATGCGTTCTTTGTGTTTCAGTTTCATAATCGGACCTACAAACTATGTGAAGAAAGTTCCATCAGTACTATCTTCTCAAGCCAGCTTCTCAGCTTCCGAATACAGTATTAGATTGGATGTCAATAAGCATCAGATTGTCAGTAGTCATAGAAGCAGAAGGAATTCCTATACCTACAATAGCAGAAAAGGAGGAATTAGAGAGGATCCGCTGTTAGGAGGCGGAGGAGGAGATGTGGTGGTTGCCGCGCAGGTTCGGTGTGAAGTGGAAGTGGTGTCTTGGCGAGAACGGAGGATTAAAGCTGAGATTCCGGTGAACGCTGATGTGAATTCTGTTTGGAATGCTCTCACTGACTACGAAAGGCTTGCCGATTTCGTCCCTAATCTCGTTAGCAGGTAACACCAATTAATGTATACACACCCCATTATATTGTTGTAGAAAATGTATTCTTCTGTTTTCCAAAATTTGATTTTGTTTTAGATTCTCCTTATCTTTTTTTTTTCTGTTTTGTTTTGCTTCAAAGGATATCATTGTAGATATTAAGGTAGAGTAATACAACATATTACATTGATACTACTGCATTGAGAGTTACTACTGCTATTACAGAAAGAGTTACTACTGCTATTGTAATAGCCCACTAGTGATATTGTCCGGGCTTATGCCCAAACGGCTTTGCAACTAAGACTTGCTTCATCTCTCCCCTCTTTGATTTGTCTAGGTGTGTCACATACACCCGCTTAGGGACTCAACGTCGCGATAGCGCTGCTCTGCATTTCCTGTGTCACTAGGGTCTAAAGTCTTGATCCCTTATATACCCGACATCTCTTTCGTGTTTTGCCGCTGTGAGATTTACCTAGGGTTATCAGGTAGCCATATCCCTTTGTACAAGACATGGGGTAATCACTACCCTGGCGATACACCAGGTTCGAAAGAGAACAAAGTTCCACTTTGGATGTCCAGTTCTTAAGATGTGAGAGGTTTAATATAGGGAGAAATATACAGGTGGTAATTACTAAAAAAGAAATATACATGTGGGATCACTGGGAACTGAATGTGATAAACGACAAAAAGAAAGGGGTAAAAGTCTAACTTGGAGCAGAGGGATATATAATTATAAAACATGCATTAACACTCTAACTCGTATGATGCCTTTTTGAATCTTGAGGTATGTGGGCGAACCATGCATTTGACTTTTTTCTAGTATTTCCTCTTTTTCTCTCTGGAGACTTGTCTGGTCCAGATACCCTAAGCATAACTTGCATGATGTCTGATGACATTTTTTGGTTTGAATAGCAAGAGTGTAATGATGGAGGAATGTAGAAAGGAACACATAAAAATTGGCAAAAAAGGAAGAGAAGGAAATGAAAGGGGCAGTCCAGGACGTTCCTTAAACTGGACAGAGACGTACGTGCTACAATTGATCAATAGTGCTGTAACGATGTCTTCCTTGTGTTGCTGCTAATAGCAGAAATCCCCCCAACGTAGATCTTGTTGTCTTAAAATTCTTGTTCAGTTTCAACTATGCACTTCTATTTCTGATCTAGCCTATGTATGGTACAAGAATACAGCCTTTAATTAGGTTTGAGTCATATAGATTACTAACGGAAATATATGTTTTCCTATTCTACATCATTGGAGAGCGTAGTGTCATTTGCCCCAGTCCATGTTATGTCAAAGCCACCATGTCACAATTGAGTCCATCTCCTTGTTTCTTAGGAGAAATAGAGAAACTCTTGCTCTTGGCTCATACTCTTCCTCCCCTACTTTCCCTTCTCTTTATCTATATCTTCTGTTTTTAGTGAAGTTCGTATTTTGCACTTGTAATCCTCTGTGGTTAGTGAGCCATTCACTGCAATCAGAGACATGCCTACGACTTACTGCAGTGAGATGCTGTATTGCACCTTTTGCAGGTACAATTTCAGCATAAACACATTTATGACCATAATACTCACAGTAGAGATGGATATCTGAATTAGGTGTCTCTGCAGTCTTTGCTAACATCCATATTTGATGACATTTGGGAAATGTTTCGATCTCGTATTTCCAAAACTAAAAAAAATTAACTTGTACTTAACATCTGAACGCCAGGAAGAATCTATCATCAGATACTGCAACTTTTATATTATCTTGAAGTTTTCTGTCTGTCATAATCCCATGAAATTCGTATTTCATATATTTGTGGCTATGGCTATGATGATTTATGCATATACTTTGCAACTTTGCACTAGATTGCTGACGCATGAATGAATTGTTAATCACAGTAGGAGAATTACTTGTCCATGTCCTGGACGGATTTGGTTGGAGCAAAGAGGTCTCCAACAAGCGCTTTATTGGCACATAGAAGCTCGCGTTGTATTGGATCTTCAAGAATTCATTAACTCGGTAAGCATATGAAATCTGTTTTTGGGAGCTGTGACATTCTAATCTATGAAGGCTCACATAAAAATTTGATTGGGTATTTTAAATTAATAGTAGACTATTAGCATACTCTGACTACAGTCCATGCTTGTCTAGAAACAAGAGTTGTGCCACAAGTAAGTCTGAAAAACAAAAAGTTAATCTGCTGGAAAATAAGCCAATACAGAGAGTATCTTACTAGTGTCTATCCAGTTTTCTTGATAAATAATATTTGTCCATTGCCTATCCTCTTCCCTATTTCTTATCCAATTGATGGAGTTGCAAATGAGCAATTCCTTTTGGTTATTTTGCTTTTGTTTATCAGTTACTGGATTCACGTCAATCTCCATAGAGCCAAATACCAAACCCATTTGACAGTCGAAATTCCCATATCTTTTTGTTTCGATTAAGTGAGGGTATGACTACTGTATTGTTCTAGTTTTCATTCATTGTACTTAAGCTATGACATACTGATCCTTAAATCTCCAGAGCCAAATGCGTCAGATGCAAAAGCTATGGGGGTTTCTATAAATTATCCCAACATGACAGTTGACTCAACTTGAAAATGTTACTTAAGAAGTGGTTATTAGTTATATGAAATTTCTTCTGTATTTAAGTATAGGTGTCTGGGGTTAAATGGTACTTATAGACTTTATAACTTTTCGAGTGCGCTTCTCCTAAGCAAAGTCATTGTGCCGAATATGATTACATTTTTCACAAGCAGCGATAATTCTTCTTATTTTTCCGCATATAGAACAATATTCGCTTTTCCAGCAGTCATCTAGAACACTGGGAGACGTCTAAAGAATGTCAGTTACTTCGCTGTTTCATGAGAAAGATCTCCTAGGAGCTTCCTTTCTAAATTTTAATTTTCAGAGCTTGTCTCCTTAATAGCAATATTTGTGTATATCTAAACAATTTTCAGATCCATTTCGCAGCTGCATTTCATGTGTAGCATATGGAGTAGAATATGTATTGTGATTTGTGTATAGTTATAAATAGGGCTACTGTAAAACATTTAATAGAATATCAATAATATATTTTTTTTCCGTGCTTTCTCACATGGTATCAGAGAGGTAGTGAGAAAATACTCGTTGTGCAATCTACCAACGATTACGGGAAGAAACGGTCGCTGTGCAACTTTTCCGGTGGCTGTTTGCGTCAAAACCATTTTTTACTAGGAGTGAGGCGCCCAAGGTAGAATTGACCCGACTAGGACCCCAAGTCTTTACTAAAATGAACTCTGCAACATTGTGGCCAAAATTTTAGGTTTCAACTCGCTGTAAAGAAAATATAACTGCCTTTCGCTGATAATTGTTTGTTGTTTTCTTATGAATTGTTTTTTATCAAATAAGACTTTTTTTTTCCTTTTGTTATGGTCATATATAACATATCAAACAAAAAAGAATTATTTTAAAGATATTTTAGTAAAGCTACTCAGGGATCAATTTGGGCTAAAAATCAGCTAAACTTTAGATGGTCTGAGATGGTTGGGTCAAGATGGGCTGAGTTCAACAAATAGACGGGTCAATGACCGGCCCAACCTTGGATAGGTTGGGGGGGTCAAATGGGTTTGGGCTCAAACTGCCACTGCAACAGAGTCAGGCTATTTAATTAAGCTAGGAATATTTTCTTTAGTCAACATAAAAGAGATGCCGATTCATTACATAATAATGTTAGATGTGGTACATAGATTTGATTTAGTTAATATGCTGAGTGATTGAAAAGATCTCTGAAAGATGGAAGACTTGTAATTGAGCTCTTGTGAACTTATTTACCAACTTCCATAGTCTTTGCATTGAGAAATTAGAGTGTATTAGGTTGAAAAGCTTGATTATTCCCTCAAGCTTGATTGATAATTTATAGCAGTTACAGTGCATACAATTTTGACTAGTGTATAATTACAGAATAAGCTCATAATCAAATCTCTAATCAAATCAAATCATATAGAATTTTAATACTCCCTCTCAAGCAGGAGCTTATATATCATAAGCTCCAAGCTTGTTACAAATGTATTCGATCCGAGGTCATTTTAGGGATTTAGTAAGAACATTTAACTGATCCTTCGAGCTAACAAAGCTGGTGACTAAGCATCTGGACTTGATCCTGTGTCTAATTAAATGACAATCCACCGCTATATGTTTTGTCCCTCTAATGAAAAACAGGATTTGAGGCAATGTGGAGAGCAACTTGATTATTGCGAATTAACTTCATTTGTTTGACTTCTACAAACCATAACTCTTGGAGGAGTTATTTCGACCAGATAAGTTAAGTAATGGCAAGGGGCATAGCTTGATATTCTGTTTATGCACTAGATCTGGCGGCAACATCTTGCTTTATTCTTTCCCAAGAGATTAGGTTTCCTCCAATCACAAGACAATATCCAAAAGTGTAACGTCTATATGATGGAGAACCTGCCCAATCCGTATGAAAATATCTAACAATGTCTAGATGACCCTTGTCTTGAATAAGAATCCTTGTTCTCGAGCTCTTTTGATGTATTTGAAGATACGAATTTCTTGCATCCCAATGACCTTTAGACGGTGCTTGGAGGAATTGACAGATGACACTTACTGCAAATAAAATATCTAGTCGTGGTAATTCAGCTTACCGACCAATCTTCGGTCTCTGCCAGGATCTGTCAAAAGCTGTCTCTATCCAAGAACAAGTTTGACACTCATTTCCATAGGAGTATCAATAGGTTTATATTCTGCCATGGCGGTCACCTCTAGTATATTTAAGGCGTACTTTCTTTGTGAAATCGCAATACTTGTCTTAGATTGTATAGATCGCCAAAAGTACTTTAATTATTGTTAGTTAAATAGTTATATGTAAATAATCCTAATCCCATATGTAGTAGGAGTATAACATGTATTATATATAGGGCACATTGTATCATTGTTAATAAGTCAATATAATGTAATTTTCCCCGTGTAATTCACATGGTATCAGAGCAAGGTTGTGAGAAAATATCCGGGAAAGAAAACCCAGCCGAAACAGTCGCCGTGCTTCAATTCCGGCGACCTTTGTGGGGCTGTTTTTTTCAAAACAATTTCTTGTGGTGTTGTGCAAAAACCAACATCACCAAAAGGTCCTCCAACCCTCGGCGACCAAATCCCGAAAAGAATCTCCGACATCAGTCTCCACGCGCTCTCACGCGCCCATCAGAGTTTCTTTTTTTCCAGCGAGATGAGGGCCCACGCGCTCTTCCAACCATTTTTTGGCCGACCTTTTTTGAGACAGCTTGTTCGCAAGGCTTTTCCGACCCTATCCATTCAAGTTTCATCACATTCCAACAACCTTTTTATTTTTCCAACGACTTTTCTATTTTCTGGCAACTGTTTTTCTAGATTCCGGTGATTTTCATATTCCGACCATTTCTCTTCACTTTTCTGGTGAGATTATTGCTGGTCGTACTTGTCTTTGCTATTTGGTACAACCATGTCTCTTGGATTTGATGTATTTGGTTCTAAAAATACGGGTTCTGTAAATTCAAGCTTTATGATTACTTCAGAGCCCTTAATGGGAAGTCCAAACTATTTAGCTTGGGCTTCCGCTGTTGAATTGTGGTGCAAGGGTTGAAGTGTTCAAGATCACTTAACCAAAAAAGGCTAGTGAGGGAGATGAAAAGGCCAAAGCACTTTGGGAAAAGATCGATGCTCAATTGTGTAGTATATTGTGGCGATCTATTGATTCCAAGCTGATGGCCTTGTTTCGTCCATTCCAGACATGTCAATTATTTTGGGAAAAGGCTCGCATTTTATACACTAATGACATATCTCGATTCTATGATGTGACATCGCGAATGACAAACTTGAAGAAACAGGAATTGGATATGCCTACTTACTTGGGACAAGTACATGCAGTTATGGAGGAATTTGAGAAGTTGATACCAGTTTCTGCTAGTATTGAAAAGCAACAAGAGCAACGACGGAAGATGTTTCTAGTTCGTACACTCGCTGGACTTCCTAATGACCTTGATTCAGTACGTGACCAGATTTTGCCTAGCCCGACTATCCCTACAGTTAATGAATTATTCTCTCGATTACTTCGCCTTGCTGCAGCACCAAATCACCCAGTGATCGCATCACAAACACTTGACTCCTCTGTTCTCGCATCCTAGATAGTGGAAAATCGGGCATCTCAAACTATGGAGAGTAGATGAGGAGGTGGTCGTTTTTGAAGATCTAGACCCAAGTGTTCTTATTGTAATAAACTTGGACACACTCGTGAAGTGTGCTATTCTTTATATGGTCGACCACCAAAAAATGCTTATGTTGCTCAGACCGAGACTACATGTAACCTGGGATTTTCTTTATCTGAAGGGGAATATAATGAGTTCCTTCAGTATGGAGTAAGCAGACATCTCCACAAGTAGCCTCGGTTGCTCATATTGATACTTTTGTTGCTGGTAATTTTTTTTCTTGTGTTTTCCAATCTAGTACTCTTGGACCATGGGTCATGGACTCAGGCGCTTCTGATCATATCTCTGGTAATAAATTACTTTTGTCGAATATTGTGTATTCACAGTCTCTTCCCGCTGTTACTTTAGCGAATGGGTTTCAAACTAAAGCAAAAGGAGTTGGACAAGCTAATCCCCTATCTTCGGTCACTCTAGATTCCGTTCTTTATATCCCTGGCTGTCCTTTTAGTCTTGCATCTGCTAGTCGTTTGACTCGTGCCCTCCATTGTGGTATATATTTTAGTGATGATTATTTTATTATGCAGGACCGTAGTACGGGACAGACGATTGGCACCAAGGCGTGAATCAGAAGGCCTTTACTACCTTAACTCACTCAATCTCTCCACAACATGTCTAGTTACAGATCCTCCAGGCCTAATTCACATACATTTAGGACATCTGAGTTTATCCAAGCTTCAGAAGATGGTGCCTAGTTTGTCTAGTTCGTCTACATTAGATTGTGAGTCGTGTCAGCTTAGGAAACATACCCAAGCCTTCTTTCTGCGTAGTGTTGAGAGTCATGTAGAGTCTGTTTTCTCTTTAGTTCATTCTGATATATAGGGTCATAGTAGAGTTATTTCAACCTTGGGATTTCATTATTTTGTTAGTTTCATTGATGATTATTCAAGTTGTACTTGGCTTTTTAATGAAAGATCGTTCTGAATTGTTTTCTATATTCAAGAATTTTTCTGCTGAAATAAAAAATCAATTTGGTGTTTTTATTCGCACTGATAATGCCTTAGAATATTTATCCTCTCAGTTTCAGCAGTTTATGACTTCTCAAGGAATTATTCATTAGACATCTTGTCCTTATACCCCTCAGCAAAATGGGGTTGCAGAGAGAAAGAATAGGCACCTCATTAAGACTGCTCGCACACTTCTCATTGAATCTCGTGTTCGGTTGCGTTTCTGGGGCGATGCAGTTCTCACAGCTTGTTATTTGATTAATCAGATGCCTTCATCACCCATCCAGAATCAGATTCCGTATTCGGTATTGTTTCCCCAGTCACCCTTATACTCTCTTCGCCCTCGTATTTTTGGGACACATGTTTTGTTCATAACTTAGCCCCTGAGAAAGATAAGTTGGCTTCTCGTGCTCTCAAGTGTGTCTTCCTTGGCTATTCTCGTGTTCAGAAGGGATATCGTTGTTACTCACCTTATCTTCGGAGGTACCTTATGTCAGTTGACGTCACATTTTTTGAGTCTAAACCTGTCTTTACCTCTTCTGACCATCTTGATATATCTGAGGTCTTACCTATACCGACCTTTGAAAAGTTTACCATAGCTCCTCCTCCACCTTCAACCGTAGAATTCTTACCAATACCAACCGTTGAGGAGTCTACTGTTGCTCCTCCTAGATCCCCAGCCACAGGAACACCACTCTTGACTTATCATCGTCGTCCGCGCCCAGCATCAGACCCAACTGATTCACGTCCTGCACCTGACCCTGCTCCTACTGCGGACTTGTCTCTTCCTAGTACACTGGTTGCACTTCAGAAAGGTATATGGACCACAATTAATCCTAATCCCCATTATGTCGGTTTAAGTTATCATCGTCTGTCATCACCCCATTATGCTTTTATATCTTCTTTGTCCTCTGTTTCCATCCCTAAGTCTACAGGTGAAGCATTGTTTCATCCAAGATGGCGACATGCTATGATTGACGAGATGTTTGCTTTACATACGAGTGGTACTTGGGAGCTTGTTCCTCTTCCTTAGGTAAATCTACTGTTGGTTGTCGTTGGGTTTATGTAGTCAAAGTTGGTACAGATGGCAAGGTTGATCGACTTAAGGTCCGTCTTGTTGCAAAAGGATATACTCAGATATTTGGGCTCGATTACAGTGATACATTCTCTTCCG